TACTGCTGTACATAATGAGTTACTATGCAGTACATGTATACAGTTAAACCCCATTGTTAAGACACTGTGAGGGCCATAGAAAGTGTCCGTATTAGCTTAGTTGAATTTCTATGAGAATCTGTTGATTGGGCCGGAAACAAGTGTCTGTTGTCTGCATCAACAGGTTTCTATATTAAGCAGGTTAAGTTTAGAGAAAATGTAAGAGCCTTCTCCAGGGATAAAGAAAACCGTCTGTAATAATGAGGTGTCCGTATTAAGAAGGTGTCCATAAAGTGGAATCTGACTGTATTTTAAGAAAACACTGTACTCTGGGAGAGGTCATGATAGCAAAAAAGAGAGGTTTAAAAGAGTTTTATTATCCTGAGACATTTGAAAACACCCTTCCTCAACCACACCATTAATCTATAAGACTCAAAAACAAAACAACAGCCCCAGATGTCTGTCCCACATTTTCAAACAACATCATTTTGATTTTTTGAATAAGGACAGTAAGTAATCATAGCTACATGCGTAATCCCAACCTAAAAATAATTACCGACCAACCCAACAGTCTACAGAAATTTGATTCATAATAATTCTCTCCTTGAAATGTTACCGTCCACACTAGAAGTCTGGTACACCACATTAGGAAAATACAAAGACTCTGATTATCCCTGACGTATCTCACACCCTCTTTCAAGATGATCACATATGTCTACAGTGTTGAGCTAGTCTATAATATCTTGAACAATCAGGAGGTGACAAGGAATGAGCGGGTTGTATTACATTCATTGTAACTCTGTTCTGTGATTTTACACAGAGGTCAGTACTTAGACAAGTGCCAAGATCAACAGCATCACTGACATCAAACATAGAATCTTTACAGGGGTGAGAAAAAACTCTCTTTTTATATTATATGTCTATTAAAATAAACTGGCATTTTATTAATTCCTGTCTGCAAACATTATTAACCATATAATTTGCATAATTTTTGGCACCAAAGAAAGACTTGCAGCTGTAGTAACATAAATGCTAACTGTAATACTTGTAAGCGACAGCAAGTTTTTTTTATAATATTAGTTATCTTTGTTGTAGGCCCAACATGGTGATCCATGTTTGCGATGAAAGCAAGAACTGTGAGTAATGTTGTTGTTGTTACTCTGTTTTTCCTGTTTGAGTTGTTATCAAAATGAAACTTTAAAGTTGATTTTAAGGGTCCATGATGTAGATTTTGTGCATTGAAGTGAAATTTCTCTACACTGTTACTGTATAAGAGCTTGTTAGTCCAGTACAGTAGCCTATAAGTATAATGCATTTGATGTATCGGTAAGAACTCAGGCTGCATATGTGCAATAAGTGTAAATGTGAGAGAATGTAATAACCGCCAATGCACTCTTTTTATTAACTTCTATTAGTGAAACAAGACTTCACCTGTCCAAGGGATCTGCTGATTAGTGAGATGAGATATTTTGCTGAATATCTGTCAGTTGAGGCACAGAGGTGGGAGGAAGTGGACATATCTGTTCACTGTGATGTGCAAATATTTGACTGGTTGATGAAATATGTCAAACGACGAATACCTGATAAGAACAAGAATGGGGTCGAGGAAAAGAAACCTAAACTTGGTGAGCTTTGTGATTGTGAAATTGCTTTGAATTCTATTTTGCTACTTTATTTTAAAGGCTAATTCAGTTGTTATTTTTATTTACATCCAACAGAACCAAACAATGTCATATCCATCTTAATATCATCAGATTTCCTAAAGATGGATGCATTGGTGAGTGTCATTAAAAATTTTGTTTAGAATACCTTCAGAAATTTCATGACACCAGAGATGTTGATCAAGAATAACATGGCCAGTGTTCCTCATCTATTGGGAAAGCCCCGATGCTCTGACAACTCAACTTGCTTAATACGGACACCTGTTAATGCGAACAACAGACAATTGTTTCTTGCTCAATCAACAGATTCTCATAGAAAGACAACCTCGCTAATGCGGACACTTCATTATCATCTGTGTGCTTTAATAAGCCTTTCCTTTTTGAAGGTAAAAAACCTTCAGTTGACTGCATTTCGATGTTCCCAGCACTACAGTTCACTGGTTCAGACTATTTTGGCATCAAACAAGTTATGCAGAGAACGGTTTTCCATAAGTAATGTACAAATGGGCAACTTTTGAGAGTGTCCATGGAATAATGGCTTTCTGAAGGTTAAAGATGTTTAACTTTATGATGCTTGTGTTCTGTTCTATCTGTTTAGTATTTTTTGTTCAAATAAATGACGTATTTTTGACTTCAGGTTTGACAGAATTTAGGATTTTGGCCAGGGAACACCTTGTGAAGCATGAATTGTATTAGCACACTATTCTGGACGTACTGACTCGAAATCATGAACATATATTCATGTATAGCAAAAATTCTTAATGTAATAACTTACTTTAAAAAGTTTCAGTTATGATACATGTAAATGTTTACTTCAAGGGCAGAGAAAGAAATTTAAACATAGGTAATAATACAAAATATTTTGGAATACTTCTCTATATAGTCTGTAAGTAATAGAAATAACAGTTCCTTATGTGTATTTAATTATTATTGCATCTGTGTGCTTGTAGGTAACGGAGTGCATCCACTTTTGTCATGCAAACATGTCAGCCATTGTGGCAACACCCTGTAACATGAATTGCATCAACGATAAGTTAGTTACAAGGTATGTGCTATTTGTTATCACTTTTTCAAATCAGGAAGAGAACATTACAGTTTCTTCCTTTTAAGACAAATTTTCCTGGTGATAGAGTAACATGGTGGAGAACATAGGCTACGGTTGCTATAACCACAATTTGTTCAGATGCTTTTATATTTTTGACGTTGCTTCTTCATAATATTAGATATTTGTCTTTCTCTTTGTTTTCAGAATAGCAAAGCTTTTTAATCATAATGAATTGGAAGCCGTCAAAGATCGCAAGGACAAGTTTAAGAGGTGAGTTCATGTCACTAGATCTTACAAAGATGAAGATAATACAATTTTAAATTGTTCACTTATTTAACTTGAACCTCTTCTCTATCCATAATTCTCGTAGTATCTGCTACTTCAGGAAAATGACTCTGTGTTTATTTTTCTTCAGCAAATTATTTTGTAAAAAAATAGAAGAGTTGTTTGATCCAAGATTTTCGTCAACTTCCTCATCAAATGCAAGCACAATGTTCAGGTACGAGTAAGATTTTCAGGTGCTTGAAAAATATCGAAGCATTTTTTGGGGGTAATTCTGAATAACATTGTAGTCTGGTTTTCACTAATATTTTGTCTTATTTTCGTGTGCTTATTAACTTTTGTTACTTTTAAAAAGGTGCATCGCTTGTGGAAAACTATTGACTGCCGATTCACAGAGTAAGCTGCGATGTGTTGCCAACAGAATGATGGTGAATCACAGAGGAAAAGTTACTTACGTTCATTCACGGTTAGTGCGGATCGAGGCCTCTTCATTTCCTTTTTAATTTGTAAAAGTTTCAACTTTGATTCAGAGAGCTCGCGTAGGAGTAACGACAGATTTGAAAAGAACTGAATGGAAAATTATTCGGATTATTATACGTTTCTGGGAAACTGCCCACCTACCTCTCGCGTAAACCAACATTTTGCCCTCAGTGAGGAGTAAGTGTTAATGTTGGCTTAGGGGAGGGGTGGGTGAGCATTTCCCCGCAACGTATGAGTTAAAAAGGAAAGAGTTAAATCTTCGAGAATTTGAAGACGATATCATGATTTTGAATCATAATTTTCAACTTACAAAACCACCTAAAAACTCAAAATAACTTTTAGTATTAGTTTAGTTAAAAAGAATAGCACCAAAGTGTCAATTGTAAACTACAAGAATTACGGATGGTTTGGGTTGGGGAGATAAACATTGATTACCAGTGACAAATTTTTTTTTTTTCAAGAGGCGTTAACCGTTATGTACCCTGGGTGCCAGCAAAGACTTCAGTAACCGTTTCTGCCTGACCTCCCGCGAAAAACAAAAACCTTTCGTTCCAAGGGTAACCGTAATGTAGATAATTAACTTAATACGATCTCTTTCGATCACATTTGAAATACTGAAAATCTTTAAGTTCAAAGTTATCGTAAAATTTGATTTTGTTGTGTGTGCTGTGCGGAGAAAATAAACATTAAGAGGGTCGTGTTGGAGCTCTACTGCATAGAAAAATAATCTGATTAGGTGTTTAATGAGCTGATCGTACGCATACGAGTATAATTTTATGGTATGTTCATACGATACAGGATAGGTTTTCGTGCCGAAACGAAAAACTACCCAGTATAATATGACGAATTTGATACATGTAACAGTGAATTAAACGCATTCGCCTGAATTTCATCCGTCTCCTCGGCTCGCCTAGTGACTTAGCGAGCTCAAAAAAAATTGTGTTTATTTCCAGGGATCACACTTGGGATGTGAATGAGTACCTTGCTGGTTTGCGAGAAGACGTTAAGTCGTGGAAAGAAGTTTACTGGAGGTGAGAGAATTTTTCGATCCTGCAAATCTCAGTCGCGTAAACCCCGAGTTAAAAAAATGGCCTTTATTTAGGTCTTTGCCTAGAACCAAGTAAAGAACGTTTGACTCATAATTTTACAGCGAGAGTGTATGGAGTGTCCCAACATTGATAACCGTAAAACCAAATCGACCGAAGAAAGAATAGTCTAGAAGGCCAGCAGGCAGATTTGTTGAATTTTTCTATTATAATTCCTACTTTATTGCTTTGAATTGATTTCTCATTTTGAAGATTGTGGGGTGCGATAAACATTCTGTACTGCCATCGTTGCGGTAACTTCTTCCAGTGCAGTGAGCTAGGCCACTGCAGTTATCATCCGATGACTGTAGACTTCGGTAATATGGAGTGTATGTCGACGAAGATAGTTGGAGTGTATCCCTGCTGTCAACAGCGAGTCCTGCATTTTGATCCATCTTTGGAGACTTCCGTAAGTTAAACTTCTTTTATTTCTTCAATACTCCGCTTTTACTTTAAGGCGATTTTATCCCCTTCGCAAAATTTTCGAGGAAATAATGAGAAACGTTTTGCGCCGTGCGCCATGCGCCATTCGCCATGTGCCAGGTGCAGGAAGGCAGCCAGCACCTACCACTCCCTCCTTGACCCTCTCGCGAACTGCTCAATCTCGACCCAGAGCTCTTCTGCGCATGCAGAGGAGAGAGTAAACACTGGGGTCGAGAGTGGCGAACTGCTTTGACGCTTGCTCTCAGTTAATGTTTTTCACCTGTTGAAATCTCTGATAGTAATTTTTATATCTGTACAAACTCTTACTCGCATCGCTGCACTAATTCTTAACAAATACTATAAAGGATCTACAGTAATAGACGCCCGGGGTGTCTATTTAATTTCAGGAGTAGATAGGAGGCATTTAAAAGAAAGAGACGTTTATTCTCAGACCTATAACAAACTCAACAAAACCCGTGATTTCAGCGAATATATCATCACAGTTTACAAATAGCAAACTATCCAGTCCATACCTTTAGGGCGTTTAGAGATTCATATCGCCTTTTAAAATCTCAATTTGATGTCAGTGTCCTTACTTTAAACTGGCTTGACATTGAACAAAATGCAATGCGCAAACTCTTTTTAATCAAGCAAGAAAGTGAATAAATTTGCTCCATTTCATTATTCCCTAGTATTATTTAGCCATTGTTATGTGGGGCATCTATTAGAGAGGGGCGTCTGATACAACCCTAAGAGCTTAGTGGAGGCGTTCGTTAGACAACGGGCGTTTATTTGAGAGTGTGCATCTGTTAGATCGATCCTTCAGGGCATTATTTTGAGCTTGGGACCGCCTCTGTTCAATGCAATGTGTGTGTATTCAAAGTCATGCAGCCATTTCTATACTGCTGTACATAATGAGTTACTATGCAGTACATGTATACAGTTAAACCCCATTGTTAAGACACTGTGAGGGCCATAGAAAGTGTCCGTATTAGCTTAGTTGAATTTCTATGAGAATCTGTTGATTGGGCAGGAAACAAGTGTCTGTTGTCTGCATCAACCAGTTTCCATATTAAGCAGGTTAAATTTAGAGAAAATGTAAGGGCCTTCTCCAGGGACAGAAGCAAACTGTCTGTAATAATGAGGTGTCCATATTAAGCGGGTGTCCATAGAGCGAGATCTGACTGTATTTTAAGAATACACTGTACTCTGTGAGAGGTCATGATAGCAAAAAAGAGGGGTTTAAGAGAGTTTTATTATCCTGAGACATTTGAAAACACCCTTTCCCAAGCACACCATTAATCTGAGACTCAAAATCAAAACAACAGCCCCAGATGTCTGTCCCACATTTTCAAACAACATCATTTTGATTTTTGAATAAGGTAGTAAGTAATCATAGTTACATGTGTAATCCCAACCTAAAAATAATTACTGACCAACCCAACAGTCTACAGAAATTTGATTCATAATAATTCTCTCCACGAAATCTTACCATCCATGCTAGAAGTCTGGGACACCACATTAGGAAAATAGAAAGACTCTGATTATCCCTGACATAACTCACACCCTCTTTCAAGATGATCAGATATGTCTACAGTGTTGAGCTAGTCTATAATATCTTGAACAATCAGGAGGTGACAAGGAATGGGCAGGCCATATTACATTCATTGTAACTATGTTCTGTGATTTTACACAGAGGTCAGTACTTAGACAAGTGCCGAGATCAACAGCATCACTGACATCAAACATAGAATCTTTACAGGGGTGAGAAAAAACTCTCTTTATATATTATATGTCTATTAAAATAAACTGGCATTTTATTAATTCCTGTCTGCAAACATTATTGACCATATAATTTGCATAATTTTTGGCGCCAAAGAAAGACTTCTAATGTCTTGCAGCTGTATGCTCACTGTAATACTTGTAAGGGACAGCAAGTTTTTTTTATAATATTAGTTATCTTTGTTGTAGGCCCAACATGGTGATCCATGTTTGCGATGAAAGCAAGAACTGTGAGTTGTTGTTGTTACTCTGTTTTTCCTTTTTGAGTTGTTATCAAAATAAAACTTTAAAGTTGATTTCAAGGGTCCATGATGTAGATTTTGTGCATTGAAGTGAAATTTCTCTACACTGTTACTGTATAAGAGCTTGTTAGTCTAGTACAGTAGCCTGTAAGTATTTGATGTATCTGTAAAAACTCAGGCTGCATATGTGCAATAAGTGTAAATGTGAGAGAATTTAATAACTGCCAATGGACTTTTTTTATTAACTTTTGTTAGTGAAACAAGACTTCACCTGTCCAAGGGATCTGCTGATTAGTGAGATGAGATATTTTGCTGAATATCTGTCAGTTGAGGCACAGAGGTGGGAGGAAGTGGACATATCTGTTCACTGTGATGTGCAAATATTTGACTGGTTGATGAAATATGTCAAACGACGAATTCCTGATAAGAACAAGAATGGGGTCGAGGAAAAGAAACCTAAACTTGGTGAGCTTTTTGATTGTGAAATTGCTTTGAATTCTATTTTGCTACTTTATTTTAAAGGCTAATTCAGTTGTTATTTTTTTATTTACATCCAACAGAACCAAACAATGTCATATCCATCTTAATATCATCAGATTTCCTGAAGATGGATGCACTGGTGAGTGTCATTAAAACTTTGTTTAGAATACCTTCAGAAATTTCATGACACCAGAGATGTTGATCAAGAATAACATGGACAGTGTTCCTTGTCCCTTGGGAAAGCCCCTATATTCTGACAATTCAACTTGCTTAATACGGACACCTGTTAATGCGAACAACAGACAATTGTTTCTTACTCAATCAACAGATTCTCATAGAAAGACAACCCAGCTAATGCGGACACTTCATTATCAACTGTGTGCTGTAATAAGCCTTTCCTTTTTGAAGGTAAAAAACCTTCAGTTGACTGCATTGCAATGTTCCCAGCACTACAGTTCACTGGTTCAGACTATTTTGGTATCAAACAAGTTATGCAGAGAACGGTTTTCCATAAGTAATGTACAAATGGGCAACTTGTGAGAGTGTCCATGGAATGATGGCTTTCTGAAGGTTAAAGATGTTCAACTTTGATGCTTGTGTTCTGTTCTATCTGTTTAGTATTTTTTGTTCAAATAAATGACCCATTTTTGACTTCAGGTTTGACAGAATTTCTTCTGGTTAGGATTTTGGCCAGGGAACACCTTGTGAAGCATGAATTTTATTAGCATACAATTCTGGACGTACTGACTCGAAATCATGAACATGTATTCATGTATAGCAAAAATTCTTAATGTAGTAACTTACTTTAAAAAGGTTCAGTTATGATACATGTAAATGTTTGCTTCAAGGGCAGAGAAAGAAATTTAAACAGGTAATAATACAATATTTTGGAATACTTCTCTATGCGGTCTGCAAGTAATAAAAATAGTTATTCCCTATGTGTATTTTAATTATTATTGTATCTGTGTGTTTGTAGGTAACGGAGTGCATCCACTTTTGTCATGCAAACATGTCAGCCATTGTGGCAACACCCTGTAACATGAATTGCATCAACGATAAGTTAGTTACAAGGTATGTGCTATTTGTTATCACTTTTCAAATCAGCAAGAGAACATTACGATTTCTTCCTTTTAAGACAAATTTTCCTGGTGACAGAGTAACATGATGGAGAACATAGGCCACGGTTGCTATAACCACAATTTGCTCAGATGCTTTTATCTTTTTTAAGTTGCTTCTTCATTAGATATTTTTCTTTCTCTTTGTTTTCAGAATAGCAAAGCTTTTTAATCATAATGAATTGGAAGCCGTCAAAGACCGCAAGGACAAGTTTAAGAGGTGAGTTCATGTCACTAGATCTTACAAAGATGAAGATAATACAATTTTAAATTGTTCACTTATTTAACTTGAACCTCTTCTCTATCCATAATTCTCGTAGTATCTGCTACTTCAGGAAAATGACTCTGTGTTTATTTTTCTTCAGCAAATTATTTTGTAAAAAAATAGAAGAGTTGTTTGATCCAAGATTTTCGTCAACTTCCTCATCAAATGCAAGCACAATGTTCAGGTAAGAGTAAGGTTTTCAGGTGCTTGAAAAATATCGAAGCATTTTTTGGGGGTAATTCTGAATAACATTGTAGTCTGGTTTTCACTAATATTTTGTCTTATTTTCGTGTGCTTATTAACTTTTGTTACTTTTAAAAAGGTGCATCGCTTGTGGAAAACTATTGACTGCCGATTCACAGAGTAAGCTGCGATGTGTTGCCAACAGAATGATGGTGAATCACAGAGGAAAAGTTACTTACGTTCATTCACGGTTAGTGCGGATCGAGGCCTCTTCATTTCCTTTTTAATTTGTAAAAGTTTCAACTTTGATTCAGAGAGCTCGCGTAGGAGTAACGACAGATTTGAAAAGAACTGAATGGAAAATTATTCGGATTATTATACGTTTCTGGGAAACTGCCCACCTACCCCTCGCGTAAACCAACATTTTGCCCTAAGTGAGGAGTAAGTGTTAATGTTGGCTTAGGGGAGGGGTGGGTGAGCATTTCCCCGCAACGTATGAGTTAAAAAGGAAAGAGTTACATCGTCGAGAATTTGAAGACGATATCATGATTTTGAATCATAATTTTCAACTTACAAAACTCAAAATAACTTTGAGTATTAGGTTAGTTAAAAAGAATAGCACCAAAGTGTCAATTGTATACTACAAGAATTACGGACTGTTACGGATGGTTTAGGTTAGGGAGATAAACATGGATTACTAGTGACAAATATATTTTTTCTCAAGAGGGGTTAACCGTTATGTACCCTGGGTGCCAGCACAGACTTCAGTAACCGTTTCTGCCTGACCTCCCGCAAAAAATAAAAACCTTTCGTTCCAAGGGTAACCGTAATGTAGATAATTAACTTAAGTACGATCTCTTTCGATCACATTTGAAATACTGAAAATCTTTAAGGTCAAAGTTATCGTAAAGTTTGATTTTGTTGTGTGTGCTGTGCAGAGAAAATAAACATTAAGAGGGTCGTGTTGGAGCTCTACTGCATAGAAAAATAATCTGATTAGGTGTTTAATGAGCTGATCGTACGCATACGAGTATAATTTTAGGGTATGTTCATACGATACAGGATAGGTTTTCGTGTCGAAACGAAAAACTACCCGGTATAGTATGACGAATTTAATACATGTAACAGTGAATTAAACGTATTCGCCTGAATTTCACCCGTTTCCTCGGCTCGCCTAGTGACTTAGCGAGCTCAAAAAAAATTGTGTTTATTTCCAGAGATCACACTTGGGATGTGAATGAGTACCTTGTTGGTTTACGAGAAGACGTTAAGTCGTGGAAAGAAGTTTACTGGAGGTGAGAGAATTTTTCGATTCTACAAATCTCAGTCGCGTAAGCCCCGAGATAAAAAAAAATTGCCTTTATTTAGGTCTTTGCCTAGAACCAAGTAAAGAATAGCCTGCGAACAGCAGACGCATTTCCAGTCGTCGCTTCTCTCCGTCCGAAAAATAGCACACTATTTTTCGGAGGGATAGAAGCGACGACCCGGAATGCGTCTGCTGTTCGCAGGCTAAGTAAAGAACGTTTGACGTATAAATTTACAGCGAGAGTGTGTGGTGTGTCACAACATTGATAACCGTAAAACCAAATCGACCGAATAAAGAAGGCCAGCAGGCAGTTTTGTTGAAATTCCTATTATAACTCCTACTTTATTGCTTTGAATTGATTTCTCATTTTGAAGATTGTGGGGTGCTATAAACATTCTCTACTGCCATCGTTGCGGTAACTTCTTCCAGTGCAGTGAGCTAGGCCACTGCAGTTATCATCCAATGACTGTAGACTTCGGTAATATGGAGTGTACGTCGACCAAGATAGTTGGAGTGTATCCCTGCTGTCAACAGCGAGTCCTGCATTTTGATCCATCTTTGGAGACTTCTGTAAGTTAATCTTCTTTTATTTCTCCAATACGCAGCTTTTTTATCCCCTTCGCAAAATGTTCGAGGAAATAATGTGAAACGTTTTGTGCCCTGCGCCATGGCAGCCAGCGCCTATCACTCCCTCTTTGACCCTCTCGCGCACTGTTTTGACGCTTGCTTTCAGTTCATGTTTTTCACCTGTTCAAATCTCTGATAGTAACTTTTATATCTGTGGAAATTCTTACTCACATCGTTGCACTAATTCTTAACAAATACTGTAAAGGATCTACAGTAATAGACGCCCGGGGTGTCTATTAAATTTAAGGAATAGGTAGGAGGCGTTTAAAAGAGAGAGACGTTTTTTCTCACAACTATAACAAACTCAACAAAACCCGTGATTTCAGCGAATATATCATCACAGTTTACAAATAGCAAACTATCCAGTCCATTCCTCTATGGCGTTTAGAGATTCATATCGCCTTTTAAAATCTCAATTTGATGTCAGTGTCCTTTCTTTAAACTGGCTTGACATTGAACAAAATGCAATGCGCAAACTCTTTTTAATCAAGCAAGAAAGTGAATAAATTTGCTCCATTCCATTATTCCCTAGTATTATTTAGCCATTGTTATGTGGGGCATCTATTAGAGAGGGGCGTCTGATACAACCCTAAGAACTTAGTGGAGGCGTTCGTTAGACAACGGGCGTTTATTTGAGAGTGTGCATCTGTTAGATCGATCCTTCAGTGCATTATTTTGAGCTTGAGACCGCCTCTGTTCAATGCAATGTGTGTGTATTCAAAGTCATGCAGCCATTTCTAAGCAACAACCTCTGAATGTTGATGTTGATAAAATCAATTATTTATCTTGCCATCAGGGATGCTGTGTACGAGATCACAAGCCAACCTTGAGTTCACCTCAGTCGACAACAACAACAACAACAACAACAACAACAACAACAACAACAACAACGGGAACAACAGAAAATAAGGAGAGCCTAGCTGATGAAAACATTGATAAAGAAACTTTCAGCGAAAACAAGGAACAACAATGCGACCAAGACAAGTCTCAAGGAGAAGGTTTCAAAAGCGAAAATTAATTCATTTTACTTAATCTTACTTAGAGCTGTCTTATAGTAAACTTGGGCAAATCATGAAGTTGCCACTAAATGTAATTTCTCCGAGAAGTAACTGTTTTTAAGATTCTTTGTTCTTTTTTGTGCGTACATTAATCTACTTATAAAACTCATGCAACGCTATCGTGGCGAATGAGGCGTTTGTGGTTCACTCTTGTCCTCGTCATTGTTGTAGACTTTTCAGACAAAAAGTTTTTGTTTAGGATCCCATTATGCCGGTGCATGCCTATAAATTGACCAAACGGGTTGGTTTTGTAAGACTAAAATTTCGTGCGACAAATGAGTAGTAGTTCAAGATACGTTTTAACCGTATGTGTTTTCCGTATTATTAGTAGAGGTAATAGCACGATTTGTAGTGATATTTGGCATAAATACCACGAGTGATATTTCGAGATTGTTATACATTGTTATAAATAGTCAACTGCTTTTTTGACGTTCTAGTTACCGTGTCTCTCGTCGTTGCTTAAACTCCCCAATAAAAGAAAAGGATTGCCCGTCCCCCAATCAGTCCCATAATACAGTTCGTCACAGCCCAGCAGCAACAGCAACCTTAATGGACAATGGCCTCTTGGTTTCTCTTTTCAGGGACGTCATTCAAGGAAGGAAAAAACCACACCTTGGATGGAGATGCTACTGATAATGCCCCAGGGCAACCTTCTCATCATGCGACGCCTGTTGTAAAGTTACCAACCAATAAAACATCAGAGGAAACGAAAGTTACCAATGACCCCGCTATAGTGGAGGACTTGTTTACACACAGGAATGTTATATGTGTGCCGTATCGCAGATTGTCAAGTACCAGGTGATGACTAAGTTAGATACCGTAAATGAGATGTGCAAGATACTGTTCGGATTTTAAAAAAAATACCACTGTAATGTAATGTGTATGCCACAAACGGTTGCTTTTGCCATTTTATCATATTTTACAGGAACAAAAGAGAACATGGTATTGGTCTAGTCATGCTAGTAGTAAATAGTTTTATAGTCAATATTTATTGGCCACCTGTGCGTTTGACTTGATCAAATTTTTACATATTCCTTCTCTCCACTAATACAGTTAGGAAGAATAAATGCGGATTTAAACTGAAGTGTCTTCCTCTGATATGTAATTCAGGTTTAGAGTGACAGTTGGATCTCAACAACAACGACATTCTATTTTAAATTGTTCGCGGCCGGTATACCTGGGGCACAAGGTCTTGATAAAAATAAAACGTATGACTCTCTTGTATTATTTTCGTTTTGTTTTGTGCTGTCGTTGTTTACAATTTCATTTTATCGTTTGAAGGTCGGCAGAGTTGAACGTGTTTGGTGTGGAGGAAATGGCGCTTGCCAATATGCAGATCAAAAATCTTGAGGTAAAAAACAGTACATTTAAACATGGGCAAATATAAAATTACATCAAACGTGAAACTTTGAAAACTCTCTATTTATCTCTCTTTATTTATTTTTTTACAGGTAAATACGAGCGCTCTTTCCGACATGATTGACCCAAGTGAAAGGAAAGTCTCTGAATTTCCAACGGTAGGAGAAAATTGTGCCAGAACTAATAGAGTAGTTTGCTGATGTGGTTACATTGCATGGCAACCAAAAACTTCCCTGATAAATCCCATCATATGGAGTGATTTCACGTAACCCGTGAAACAGTATCTAACAATTACTGCCAAATAGTTACAAGAAAACAAAACAAAACAATGAAATTAGAGTGAATTAATACTGCGTATTCACGGGATAAGGAAAATCAATCAGTAGAGCGCTTGGCTGCAGAGCGTGAGGTCGAGGGTTCGATTCTCGGGGCCGGACCATTACTCAGCGTCTTAAAAATGACTGAGTAATGAAGGTACTGCCTTTGCCCTGCAAATGGCTTGACCTTCGCGTGGCTCGGATGACCACGTAAAATGGTGTTCCCGTCTCCGGCAGGAGACATAAAAAAAGTGTCCCCAATTAGTACTTTCATGATAAATACATTGACACTCAAATAAGTGCATTTTTTCTGCAAGATAATATTCTGTGAACAATTAAGTAAAATCAGTATATTTCAAAGAAAGTGTGGGTCGCAATAGGAAGTGACAAACTTCTCCCTGAACTGAGTTATCCATTTACACTTTAGACATGTATCACCTAAAGCCCATTTCTAAATAAATTCCTTGCGTTCTAATAGTTGTTTTAAATAGATTTTGAAAGTGTTTGTAAAAATAGAGGTCTCTGTCTCTTTTGGGTTTCTTGCTCTATACTCTGTTTTCTTTTTCCCAGTGAGACACCTGTCCACAGACATCGATAAAATTATCTCTTGTCCCCTTTTTCCAGTACTTGCCATCCATAAGAAGAAGTCGCAGTCGAGGCCTTCACCGTAACTCCCTGAGGAAGATGAAGCTACAGACTACCGCAGCTAACAAGGAGGATGAGTATGACTTGGGAGAAGATGAGGATCAACCCGAGTCTGAGGACAATGATAGTAAGTTTCGCCCGACATAGAGCGGTTTTCACTTGAGTGTCGAAAAGTAATTGGTTTTGCACTTTCTACACGATGCGATTGGCTTAAAAGATTCGCGCCACCTTTTCATCCAATCAGAAGTAAAACCAAAGCCAATTGTGACGCGCTCGCATGCATTTTCCCGCGCTTTGCGTCAGCCACATGTAATTACTTCGAGTTTTGATTGGTTCAATGTATTGTCTGTGTCCTATGTGATTGGCCAGAGTAATTACTTTGGTTTTGGTTTTACGACACTCAAACGAAAACCACTCTATTAATATTTTAAAACAATTAATCCCATCACTTAACCTGACTTTCATCCTCACTTGCACTTCCGAACCATGTTAGAGAATTGAAGGCATTGAATAGCCTCAAAGTGTTTTGTGGATGGACCACCCTTATAATTAGGTAACACAAGATATTTATAGTGAACATGATAGAGTATCTAAACATAAGAAATAGATGTACAAATTTGAAATCATTGTAATACAGTTTTTTATTTATTTATGAGCACTTTAGTTTCTTAAACTAGATTAGATAGACTAGATAGTTACACTGTTGATTTGGAAACCATTTTCACGTTGAAATTAAAGGTTACCATGTTTAAATAAAGTTCATTCGTTCGTTCGTTCTTCGCCCGCCCGTCCGTCCGTCCGTCCGCCCTTCTGTCGATAAGTGATGCAGTACTAACAACACTATTCTCTCAATACCATCCTCACTGAACTGGAATCACAGACTGTTATTACTATAGTAACAGGCTGCAATTACGCAGTTCGTTCGAACGATCTCGATCCCAGACCCTCTCTCCTTTTGAAAGTTTGTGGTGTTATTTGCCCCTGCAAAATCTGCTACATGCGTTTCTCAAGATCCGTTCAATCGACTCTGACTGTCCCTTACAATCTCACTATAAGGGCTCTGATGTAATTTTTCTAAGTCTGTGTAGCTGATTTGGATGTACATTGTACATGTAGCGGGTCGTTCTTGCACCACGTCAGATTTTACAGTTTTATGTTTATGTAAAAGATTTCCTCCCGGTTGCTTTGTGTAAAAAGTAAGCACCCCTTTTCTCCAGTTACCAATCTTCTAATTTTTTTGCGGACCAGTATCAAGTTAGCTTCTACCTTTCATTACAGCTACTATAACAAACCCTTGCGGGATCACAAGTGAGTGAGTGAAGGAGTCGGGCTATTTGTAGGTTCTTCGTATATTGTTATAGGTGTTTGGTAGGGCAAGGTTATCAGTACTTCTGTTTAACAATTTGGTGAAATGTCTCTTTCAGTCACATTACGGGAAAAACCCCGACCACCTCGAAAAATAACCTCCGCCTCCAGAAAAGAGTAAGGACATTATAAATTATTTAATGCAAATGTGTTAATTTTTCATTTAGTCTAACTGCTAAGAAAATTTAGAAATGCGTTGAAATGTTGTTCATTTTCTTTTAGTTTCAGTACGTTTAAAAGCTATAAATGGGATTCACAGCGATCTGCTCGGTGGAACCAAGATGCACAGCGAGAGGAAGGTAACCCTAAACAGGGGTGGGGTAGCCGATAAAAATGCCGCTGATCCCTCAAACCCCAGGGGAAAATTTCCAACTCCTGAAGTTAAAGTAACTGAGCATCAATACCCTCACCCTTTTCAGTTTTGCTTACCAAATGTAACGAGCTTTAACTGTTTCTTGTTGTTCGTAACTGTTCACTTATCCATGTTTTCCTTTATCTTTTGTCAAGATCAAAAGCGCATGTCAGAGTTGGTGTCTTATTTATCGCGACAGCGGACGTACACCCCACCAGACAAAACTGAGAATAAACAAAAAACTAAGGAGGTAAGGCTTTGTTCTGCCACGATGTTTGCATTTGTCTTCTGTTGACCAAAAAGGAAAAACCCTGGGCCGTGCTGTTCAAAGCTGGGTCAAGATAACCCAGGGTTAGTACAAAATTTGAATTCAGAAATAAAAGCTTTAAAAGCAAATTCAGATTAATTCTTTTTACCTACAATTGGATGATTGGATGCTCTAAAAGGAATAGAGCAAAATATCCGAGAAAAATGCGTTTGAACAAGACGAAAAGAAACGCAGATTAAAGGGCTGATCGGCCTACCAACAACTGGGTCCAGTGCCAGAGACTTTTGATGCGTTGTTTCAGCTGGCGCCGCTTGTGACTTCGGGCATTCGGCCGAAGATCTGTCGGCCTGCAGTCGCCGAAGTATTCAGCCGTACGCAAGAAAAGAAAACCTCTGCTACCCATGGGAAAAATGGATGCAATGGGTGAAATGGCTAGAACTGACGTCTTTCGTGGCTAAGATTTGGGTCAAGGATGAAAATAATGACCGCGATATTCAATTTGCACACAGTTCCAAAAAAACAAAGAAACAAATAAATAAATAAATCCAAAAAAACAACCAAATCCCCTTCGGTAAATTACTTCCAGGAGTACTAAAGAGCGCTGTTTTCTTTTTGTCTTAGTACCTAGGAGGAATTTTTTCCAAGCTAGAACACCAGTTTCGGGCATCACAGCAGCCAGTTGTTTCTAAGGCGCAGTCAGGCAGTCAACAAACAGGTCCTAGGTAATGTGAACACTGAACTCAATACCTCCCATGTCTTACATCCCTTTACAAAAACGGGAATGACTGACATCTCAGCCTTTCCCCTCCTTGCTTATTTCACCTTAGTTCCATTTCGGGTCGGTCGTCGCGTGGTGTGATGGAATTTGACTCTAGTACGTCACTAAAATAAACTGTCCGTGACGGCCTAGGAGGAAAGCCGGTAACATGAGTATCATTAGATTAGAGACACCTTCCCCTTCACAACACGCTTGTGAACCTTGTACATGCAATATCAAACACTCGTTACATAGGCATAGCCGAGCGGAGACCACAGAATATATTTTATGTACCTTTAATTCTACTACTTGATTTTTTTCAACCTTATTATGATTGCTTTGCGGTTTTTTTCCACAGTCAAAGAGTTCGAAAAATTCCTCTGAAGATTTCCAGCTGATGGCTTGACTGCTTAATTTGACGAGTCAATTTTACACGCATCTTTTTTTGCAAATAATTTTTTGTCAATGTAAACAACATTTGTGAGAATAAATGTAATTTTCTAATTGTTTTTCTTATTAAAGATGTTTGCAAAACATGTTGAAAAGAATTAAGAATTGCAAAACCAAATATAATGAATTTTTATTTTGTCATCTCATATTAAAACTCTCAATCTTTTCTAAATAAAGAAAGATCGTGCCCACTCCTATGGTAAATATTTTTATTTAAGTTGTTCAGATTGATCCCTAAGTCAAGTTAAAATAAGCTTTTTTCCGTCAGTCACATCGGAGGGTGGGTCATTCGAAAACTAATAGTCTTGCGTGAGGGTATAAGCTTTTTTAAAACTTAAAAAATTGGAAAAAATCCGATACTACGATGAGTTTCTTTCAAGGTTTTACTTCACTTTATCTTGAAGTTTAAACCTTTTAATAAATGTTTTCCGTTTCAAAATGTGATTGCAAACCTACCTCCGTGTCTCTGAAGCTATCATATGGCGCTTTTTTCAATGCCTTCTTCAAAATGATAAGGGTCTCTTACGAGGTTTCCCTTCACTTAACCTTAACGTGAAAGTTCAAACCGTTTAATAAGTGCTTTCTGTCCCAAAATGTGACAGCAAATTTCTCTCTGATGTTATTGCAATTTTCTCCCTGCGTGTGAAAAACGGGTGGTGACAACTCTAACAAAGGCTGTTTGGGCAGTCCTATGAATAACTTTATGTCATCCCGGAAATTTCGTCGACCCTCCCGAATTTTTCGGTAGCATTCCCCATAAATGTTTAACTTCCCAAAATTGTTTTAACAATTAAAATTAAAATTTTGATTAGAGATTTTTTGCACCCTCTTGTTAATTATGTAACTTGTTAATTACCTAATCTTAGTTATTTTTTCGTTTAGAGGATATCGTGTTAACACAGAAAGACTGTCCAACTTTTTAAGTATATAAAATCGTGTTGTTTTGTTTTTTAATCACCGACGAATCAGGCGAGCACCTAAGGGACCAACCACTAGAGGGGTCTGGGGGCATGCTGCCCCAGAAAATTTTGAAATCTTGGTGCTCTGAAACGCCTTTTCTAGTGTTCTGAGAGGACAAATTCTGTCCAAAATGTTCTCTAAATCAACTGTCCTTTTTATGCTTATTTTTATTGGCGTGACTTCGCGCAGAAGTAGTCGATTTTATTTTATACAAGTTGTGCGGTTTTTGAAATTGCTCTGGATATCACTTTCAGCTAAGTATACTCTGTGTGGTGTCACTGTATGAGTATCATAAGAATTCATTTGAAAATTTCAGAACAACTGTCGTAATCTGGAATTTTCTTATCCCGAAGGCATATTGATCGGGTTTCGGGATTTTCGAGCACACTCGGAAGGACCCCGACGAGATCAGGATGATTAAAGAGTCTTCACTGACATACTACTTTTTATGGCCTCATTTGCGTTAAACAAGGTTAAATGATTTTCGTTTTTTTCTTACGTACTTCTTTCAAGTTTTCAACTGTTGTTTTAATTACTGTTAATAACTGTAGGTCATGTTTCAAGAGATCGAAATACAAACAAACAGAGCTGTACTCTTCCTATGGTAAACCGTGGTTGTGATAACTCATGAGGTGCTTGTCGCCAAACTTCTTCTCTGCCCTACCGTAAGCCTCCCGGAAATTTCTAAGAACCTCGATTAGTGTTCGAGCTCTGTAGATGCTCTGGGCGTACTGGTCGCTGTATAAAATGGGTTGTGGGCAATGGCCAGCGATCTATCTAATTCATCTGACCAGATTCTGCTGACATGTCCACGGTTATCCAGTGTTGCTTTCATACTAGTTTGCTTGTGTTTGATGTGTGAAAAATGTCATTTCTAAGGCCATCAAGGCATGATACATAAATTAGATGCGTTATTTCACTATTCAGTGGGGCAACTTGGTTACGCATGAAAAACGGGCCTGGGGGTACGAGCTTTGAACAGTACTAGTCATCAAATTTCCTTGTCTACAGGTTGGGAAACCGTTCTCCTTGACAAGTAAATTTTCCATTTCCTAAACCTTTCCAAATAACGAGATTGTGAGGCTTGTGAAAATGACATCTCTCGAGCTCTTGAGGGACTTGGATATAACCTCAGCTGTGATTAACCATATTTGCTTCATAAACAAATTCTTTTTACCATCAGTAAGAAATCGCAACTCTCTTCGATTTCATGCCATTCTGCACGTAAACCTTCCAAATGGTTCTCCTCAGGGAGGACGAAGCTAAGTGAGGGCTGGAGGGGAGGGGGGAGAGAGGAAGAGTCCATCAATCTTCCCTCTTCCTCCTCGCACATTTGAGGAGGTGGTAACCATGACAGGATCAGCACCCCTTACAGCCTCTTCTAAGCGCATTGATACGTGGGCCATAACATCTCAGAAAAACCAACTACTTGGTACCCAGAACCGTTCCTCAAATGTCTTTTAAGTCAGACTTAGCCATCCTTTTGTGAGCTTCCAAAATTTTCTATCTCTGTATTCTTCTTACATCTTGCCTTAGCCAGAAACACACATAGTGGCGATGTTCCATTTTCGAAAAAACTTTTCGGCTGTTATAAAGAACATGCTAACGCGTGCTGCTATATTTTGACTAGTTGCTCAGGGAAAATGTGGAAAACGTCATAACACACAGTAAAAGTCCAACTTACATTTTCACTCTCCTGTCATGGTTTATCTGCTTTCTTTTACTGACACGTTTATTTTACAGCTATTACCTCCTTCTCCAGTATGCAATCAGTGGTTTGTGCTCTTAAAACTCATTAACGTGAAGCGTAAAAATACCCCTGAACTAATAAATGATGGGATCTGGTGTGAGCTAATAGTATGTGCCTTGCACCGGTACGGTTCTTGTGTCAATCCGCTGGGGATTCCACGTGGTCAATCGCATTCGAACTTCATGCTATTTAGTTGGAAACGTTGTTGATTTGTCTTTTCATATCATGGGGAGTTAAGCCGTTTTCAAGTGTCAAAATGCATAAAATACAGCGCATACACAGGGTGCATATCACTGAATATATATATTGTTTGATAACATGTAATATCAAATCTTTGCTCAATGTCCCGAAAATATCTCATATTTCCCGATTCCCGGCAAAATCTCCAGATTCCCGGGGCAAAAATCAAAACGAAAAATCCTTAGGACCTTCAATAATACCCCAAAAAATCCATCGACCAAAATTAACCCCCAGCAGGAGCCTATGGGTCATAAACTCCTGACCCCAAAACATCCCATGCAGAATTTCCGAGCCTTAAAACTTATCAAGCATTAAATGATATAATACAACAAATAAAATAAAAAAATTCGCATAACTACGCAGGCCGGACACGAACAACAATAACTTTTGGAATTTCCGGTTAGATCAAAATAGTCACGTTATACTGTCACGCTATATTTCGCTATATTTGTTTGAAAAGAATAAGAAGGTGCATGGTCGTGTTCAGGGTAAGGAACCGGTTTGAAACTAGCGAAACCTGGCATAATTCCCAGCATTGCTTAGTAAATCTATACACAATTTTGTCGACACCAAATAACATCAATGAGGAGAACGGCGTCAACTACAACAAGCAGTCAATAGTCTGACCGACTTTCTAGACGGCTAGCTAATAAACGTAATCATGAGTCTCCTCAGAATTTGTACTCGCCATGTCAGATTTATACAACCTCGCATGCGCTACATTCAAAGTTCTGCTCTTGTGTTTCGGGTGATTCAAAGCCCAAGCGTCGAAAATGTTTCCTTTAGTGGTGAGAAAGAATCATTCCAACTTCCATTCAACAATGGCACGAGGATTTTTGCGTCGAAACGCACATCGGAAATACTTCGTTCTCTTTTCGTTTTAAAACTTTGCTCTTACGATGTCGTGGCGAAACACAGTATGTTGGTACGTACAAGCTAAATTAATGCAGTATAACATGTAAGCAAACAGGGGTGAGGAACGAGGAATAGCCTAAAACTTAAACTAACAGTAAAATGGGTAAAAGTGGAAGTTAAAATCAAACTTTCTGCTGCTATTTTCGGCATTAGATACAAACATGGCCTCCGTAGGGGAGTTTGGAGGGGAGTTTTTAATCATGTAGGAGCTATTCGGGAGGTGTCTGGGTGGGTATAAATGTGCTGCCGAAGCATTCAAGGAAGGCCTTGAGAATGTTCTTAAAAATTAGGTACTCCATTTGAGATAAAGTATATTTAAGATGTAGCTATTTCACTTTTGCTAATTGCCTGAAAAATATTAATATGTCAGTTGTGGCATATTATAATTAACGTAGTAAGGGTACTCACGCTGGTGAAGTGGAGACTTTATTTAGAGCCGGTAACACTTGACAGTTTCAATATAACCTGTGTAGCAGGTGCTTGGAAGTAGTGGGCGAAAGAGAGAACGGGCGCACACAAGGGAGACATGCCCATTTTTTCTTGTGCCCACTACTTCCAAGCGCCTGCTACGCAGGCTAGTTTCAATAAGAACTGATAAACTCGTGGCCCTCTGATAAACCTGTGACTGAAGGCATCTTTGCATGAGAGTATGAAAACTTTTTTTAAAAAACAAATCCAAAGAATCTTAGATTAAGAATCTATCATCTTAGATTCTCCAAAAGACCTGCCCACCCTCAGTTTTGGCAGCCCCCAACAGGGCAGATCTAGGGGGAGGGTGCAGGGGGTGCACACCCCCCCCCCTGAGATGACCTGCAGTTTTCTAATACAACTGTTATTCCGCAAAAAAAAAAAAAAAAAAAAAAA